ATGCATGCGGATAGAAGATCGAAGGCATATGAGTTAGGGGTGGAAGGATTTTTGAATTTTGCGTCAGAAAATCTTGGAAATACAACTGAGATTCATTGTCCATGTGTTAAATGTGGGAATATTCGATTATTTGGGGTTGGAATTATAAGGGAATTTACAAGAAAATAGGCCTTAGTTGACACTTCATAGTTGACGTTTATTGAAAAACCATCATGTATTCTACTAAACGTTGACACTTTTTAAAAAATGTCAACTAAAGCCCTTCATACATGACGCTTATTAAAAACCATCAAGGAAAAACCCTTTATAGCTAACACTTCTTAAAACCTGTCAAGGAAAAATCCTTTATACTTGACACTTATTAAAAACCATGGGTATACTGGTGAAATACCCCCTAAACTTGTACCTTAGTTTCAATTAGCCCCCTATCCTTTTTTTTTAGAAATGTAAGGACCCGATCTATTTTTTTTCGCCAATGTTCCCCTCGACGTTAGAATCTGGCACTTCCCATCCATTGTGCCGTTAAGATGGAGGTTAAGTGGTGCACCTGTTTGGACTCAACTTCTAATCCAACGATTGTAGCCGAGAGAGGAACGGTTCTCGGCTGTTAGGTTCACGGCCTGAGCTACAAGGCCGTTTAAAGGTGGTGTTGATGGTGGGTTTTGGGCGGTGCTCCGGCGCGCTGCTCAGGGAGCGACAGTCGTATGATATATGGGGTGCATGAAATGGTAACAAAGATGGTGCTCCGGCACCTCGAAAATCAAGGGTCGTATGATATATTGATGAATGGATTTTCCTTACAATCTAACACTACTCCTAGGAAAGCAAGTACAGATATTGAAAGTGCAGTACAGGAAAATATAATTTGCTCCATGGGAGGCTTTTGTTTGGCGTTTGAACCCTTTGAATGTAGCTTGAGCCATGTATTTATAGGAAGAGTTCTTGGAGGAGTAATCGATGCTAAAAATCTGCATGGTGGAGCCTGATCAGAGCAAGTGGGTAGTCCAATCGACATTTGGGATCGTGAAGTATGGTGGTGTGACCCCATAAATCCCGGTGAATCTCGGCCGCCGCCCTGATCGTGGGTTCTGCACTTCTATCTGTGGAGACGCATTTATGGTTCTGATAGCTGGTGACCTAATATCTCAAGCTGCCAGAATTCTTGTGAGAATGTTCACGTCTAATCACTCTGATTCCTATCACCAAATCCTGACTCCAATCACTTCCCACCTTTCCTCGTGCATTAATTGCTTATTCGTGGCCAATGGGTTTGCTGCAATAAACAGAGGCATTACTTCATTAAATGAAGCATGGGACCCTGCTGTCACGTGATGATTTGACTTTAATACCTTTGGCCGTGATTTTTTTGGGCCTCGGCCTCGGCCTATAAACGAGGCCGAGATGATCATGCCTTCGTAACTTTTTCCTTTGTTTTTGGGAAGACCAAACATTTCTGGCAAAACGCCGCGTTTCAGCTTTACGAGCAAGCGCTAGGGCCGAGACGAAGGGTAGCGCCAATCGGCCTCGGCCGTGTTGACTTCGTTAGTGATCTCGGCTGACGACACTTGTGTTGCCATTCCCCTTTCGGCCAAAGCCGGCAAGGTGCGCCTCTCGATTCTTATCACACGATCGTGATCATTGTCTGGGATATTCACACCTGACGCCACCTGGGCCATCTCATTGGCCTCATGGTTTTCGGTGCGTGGTACGTGGACAAAGGAAATCTTGGAGAAATCATCGGCCATATTGAGGGCCGTTACGTAATACATAGTCAAATTCTTGCTCGTGCACTGGTATTCCCTGGTCAGTTGGTTAATTACCAGCTGAGAATCGCCGTAGACCAAGACACGGGTCGCTTTCATTTCTTTCAGAATTTCTAGGCCGATGATGAATGCTTCGTATTCGGCCTGATTATTGGTGCATTTAAAATCAAGCTGGAACGAAAATTGCCACCTTTGCCCTTGAGGGGACTCGATCACGACTCTGGCCCCAGACCTAACCTCGGTACTGGAGCCGTCGAAGTACATGGTCCAGTAATTCTTTTCCATGCGAGCCATGCCGATCTCGACCTCCAACTCTTCCTCTTGCCCTTGGGCCGGGTGATGAGCCAGGAAATTGGCCAATGCCTGACCTTTGACCGACTTCTGAGCCACATATTGGAAGGTGAATTCAGACAATGCCATGTAATGGAGATGATTTGATGAGATCGGTCTTGGAGATGATTTGAACGACCGAAGGAAGCATGTAATGGCGCAACTTAGTAGCCGCGAAATAAAGTGCCAAACATAATTTTTCAATCGATGAATAGTTTAGCTCGGCCATGTTAAGGGTGCGGCTCAGATAGTGCACTGCTTGCTCTTGCTCAGACTCGTTGTTCTGAGCCAGCAGACAACCGATAGAGCCCTCTGAAGCCGAAATGTAAAGTCTTAAAGGTTTCCCTCTTTTTGGCGGCATAAGGACCGGTGGCTGAGATAAATATTTCTTGATGTCGTCGAGGGCCAGTTGATGTTCTGCTCCCCATACGAACCGCTCTGTGTCTTTTAGTTTGAGCAGAGGAGTCAACGGCCGGATTTTCCCTGCCAAATTGGATATGAACCGTCTTAAAAAGTTGACCTTACCGAGGAAGGACTGGAGTTCCTTCTTGGTCCTCGGTGGAGGGGCCGCCATAATGGCCGTAGCTTTATTTTTATCTACCTCGATTCCTCATTGGTGAACCAAGAAACCGAGGAAGTTCCCGGCGGTGACGCCGAAAGCACATTTATTCGGGTTCATTTTCAGGCCGTGGGCTCTCATTCGGTTAAAAGCCTGTCGGAGATGTCCTACGTGGTCAGCTCTGGATGGGGATTTGACAACCACGTCGTCGATATAGACTTCAACGGTCCGGCCTATAAGGTCATGGAAAATAAGATTCATAGCTCGCTGGTATGTTGCGCCGGCGTTTTTCAGGCCGAATGGCATGACCACCCATTCATAGGTTTCGATTGCGCCTGGACATCTGAACACCGTCTTGTGGACATCTTATTCGGCTATGAAAATTTGGTTATAACCAGCATGGCCGTCCATAAAAGACAAGAGCTCGTGCTTCGTGGCTCCGTCTACCAGGAGGTCTGACATAGGCATGGGGTACTCGTCCTTGGGGGTTGCGAGATTCAGATTTCTGTAATCGGTGCAAACCCTCAAAGCCCTAGTCTTTTTCAAAACTGGTACGATGTTAGCCAACCACTCAATGTACCGGGCGGTTCGGATGAAGCCGGCTTTAAGGAGCCATTCAATCTCCTCCTTGACTTTAAGTTGCACTTCAGTTGAGAACCGCCTCGGCGACTGTTGGAAAGGCCTAAACCCCTCCTTGATTCTTAATTCGTGCTCAACCAAACTTCTTGGCAATCTAGGCATCTCATGATAATCCCAAGCAAAGCAATCCTTATATTCATGGAGCAGGCCGATAATCTCGGCCGCTAACTCAGGGTTCAAAAGTTGGCTTACAAAAAGAGGCCAGTGGTTCGGCCTCCGACCCTACATTTATTTCTAATAAAGGGTCCTGGACCTCAGGGTAGTCATCCTCCATCTCAGCGGGCACCGTTTCTAGGTCGTCAAAAGGATTCCTCCGCCCAATGTTCCAGCAGTCTTTCCAGCAGGTCGGTCACGGCCGCTGCTCCTTCTTCTTTAGTGGCTTTGTCTGTCATCTAAAGGCTGGTGAGGTCGATCAATATTTCGCGCGCCGAACCCTGTCGGACATTCTCGGCGCCCAACTCCAGTACTTTCTGGGCTGTTGTCCTGGTCAGTAGGCCGCTTGCATCGTGGCCGGTGAGGACAACTCATCCAACGTCGTCGTCGTAAATCCGCGCTTGCACGGCGTTGGTTTCGAAGGGTTTTTCATCGGCCAGGTGTATGGACACCCTCTGGCCGTCCCAAAAGAAAAGTAGTTGGAAGAGGGAGGACGGTATGCATCCGGATTGGTGGATCCAGTCACGACCGAGCAATATATTGTAGTCCACACTGGATTCGACTACATAGAAGGCCGCGACTCTTGTCTGGTCGGCCACGGTGATTTTTAACGGCAATACCCCGATGGTTTTAGATTTATCGCCGACAAAACTGCTCATGACCACGTTGCTGGGGATGAGGTCCTCCTTTGATTTGTCCAGCTTCCTCATCAGGGAATAGGGGAGGATATTGACCATGGCCCCACAGTCGACGAAGACCTTGGACACGGGCACACCCTCTACATGAGCCGAAATATACAATGGCTTGAGATGTCGATATTTGTTCGGCTCGTCTCTGGGTATTACCTCGTTAAAAGCTACGGCCAACAATTCTTCTTTTGTCTTTGGCCTCTGATCTAGCTGCTCCTCGGCCATGTCATTATCCAAGCCGTTAGTCTGCCCCCTTAGGGCTGAGAACTCAGACGGTAGTACCAGGACCATGTTCACGCTGGCTTCCCTCGCGTATTCTTCATCGGAGATTCCTAAAATGGGGTCGTCTTCGGCCTCATGCCCAAAGAAAGGATCACCGAGGCCCTCAATTATAGGCCCTACGGTCCCCGTGATATATCCTGTGGACGCTTTGATCTCAGGGGGTCCGAGGCCTCGACTTCTTCCTCGAGGGCCCGTCTAGCTTTAGCCAATGTGTCCCTGGCCGTCAAGTAGTCGTCTAAACGGCTTACCCGGGCTCTTTCCTCTGTCGTCAGACCAAAGATAGTGTCCGCCGGAGTCACGGTAAAATATTGGCGGAGATATTCTAAATCGCCCTTGCTGAAGGGGACTTTAGCCTCCGATCCTCCAAGGTCGGGGTGATAACCTGGCATCGCTCTCGCTCTGGCTTCCCTGTTTGCCTTGTATACGGCCTTAATGGCCGAATCGGATCCGCTGGTAATGAGGAGCCCCTCCGCTTTCGTGTTTTTGAGGGCCAACTCCACAATTTCCCGGTTCTCAGGGGTCATGCCGTATAGGTCCGTGGCCGAATGGTCTTTATGGAATTCCCTGAGAAAGGACAAACTGTTGGCCGAAAAAGGGAGGTCCCTTCCGCGGTAGATGTCGATGATACCCTCGTCTGTTTTTTTCAGGGCCGTGGCCTTTGGCTGGACCGAAGTAGCCGTCTTTCCACGGGGACTCTCATCCTGCATAGGGCGCCACGCCCTCGGAGGCTTGGTGCTGGCCTTTTTTTCCATCGATGGGACAATTGGTGCGGACGGTGGCCCGTCTGCAGTCGCCATTTTCTTTTGGCGCTTGGAACCTTCGGCCTTGGTTGTCTGTATTCTGGCCTGCTGAACCTGTCTCTGCATTCTCCTCAGTTGGGTTTTTGTCAGTGGTTCGGCCCTGCCCCCAGGTCGCACATGGTACCAACGGTCATCACGTATGACCGGTGGTTTGAAAGTTTTAACCGGCCTAGGGGCGGCCTCATCTTTGTGGCCTGTCGAGGTACTAGGGGTTTGTGCCCCCAGTCGGTCGAAAATAGCTTTGCTGGTCGGCTAACGGTCATACTGACCGCTGGATTTCTTTGTGGTCGTTTGAGATGGCTCGGTGGCCTTTCTCTTGCTTTCCTGTAGGCTGGGTTGGCCGATCTCGTACTTGCATCGCTCGCAAAGCACCAGCTCTGATTCGGCCAATGGCTCCTTTCCTTTCGCCGGCTGACGAATTTCCCTATACTCGGCCTGGAGTTGAGCGTCGATCATGTTGACGACAGGTGGAAGGAATGGCTTGGTATCAACCTGCATGGCCGGCTTCTTCAGAAACTGGAGCTTCTTCTCGTCTATCAATTTCTGGATGACGTCTCGCAGGACAACGCAGTTGTTGGTGTTGTGAGACCAAGAACTGTGGTATTTGCAAAACGTATTTCCTTTGAGCTCGTCGGGTTTCGGAATTTTATGGCCGAAGGACAATTTGACCTTTTTCTCGGCCAGTAGTAGGTCGAAGATAGCCTCGGCCCTCATCAAGTTGAAAGTATAGGCCTTTGTTTCCCGCGTTGCAAACTTGGCGTCGGGAATTTTTGTGCGGCTATTGTCGGCCTTAACAAGTCCTTTGCAGACGAATGGTTTGTCTATACTGACTTCGGCCGAACTCATCTCTACTTCGTCGCTCTCGGCCTCGGAGGGGCCGTCTGCTTCGGCATAACTGACTACGGGATTTCGATAGTAAGTCCCTTTTGAAGCCATTTTTTTTTGCATCTCTTCCTTCAACAAGGACGCGTATCGGTCCACCTTGTTGATCAGGTCATGCATGTCCCGGAATTCAATTCCCTGGAATTTCTTTCGGTATTCAAAGTCCAACCCTTCTTCGGCCATCTTGAAAAATTCCCTCTCTGGTAGGTCCGTGCGGCACCAGTTCCTGCATGTTTTGAACCGTTGCAGGTAGTCGCGAGGTGATTCGTCCGACGCCTGGCTCATTCTTGCCAGCTCGGCGACCGTTATTTCTCGGTTGGTCTGATAGAAATGTTCGTGGAAAGAATGGGTATACGAAGGGGTTTATGGATGAAAAAGAGCAATAATAAAGCTAGAAGGGATCTTGCATTTTTTTTCCATGAAACCGAATGATAAAAAAGAGTTTCTACAGTTTGTATCGTCTGTAAAGTTTCCTGATGGGTATGCTTCTAATATTGCACTTTGCGTGAATGTTGACGGGGGTAAATTTACTGGAATAAAGAGCCATGACTGCCATGTGTTTATGCAACGCCTACTTCTTGTGGGGATTCGACACCTATTGCCGGAAGATGTAGTCAAGCCAATCATATTGTTGTCCAAATTTTTTTCCCAACTGACGGCGATAACGTTGCGAAAGACAAACATTGATCAGTTGCGCCATGACATTGTCCAAGTCCTATGCAAGTTTGAGATGATATTCCCTCCAGCTTTCTTCACTAGTATGATTCACGTGATGGTTCACTTGCCAGAAGAGGCATTGCTTGCTGGTCCAGTCAACTATCGCTGGATGTATCCAATAGAAAGGTATATAATCCTCATCATTTCTGTATGCATCATTATCCCATGCTTGCTACTTGCTAATTTGCATCTTTTCGTTTTATTTTGGCAAGCTTCTCGGAGAGTTGAAAAAAGCGTACGCAACAGAGCAAAGCCCGAAGGATCAATTATAGAGGCTTGGGTTCAATATGAGGTGCTTACTTTCTGTGGAATGTATTTAAAAGATGTGGACACAGCTTTCAATCGACCTCAGCGCAATAATGACGGAGG